AGTAGAAACCCGTCTTTCTCCTGCGGTGGTTTTGAACTGCTGACCTTGCAGTTAGCAGGCCAATTGTAACCACCATGCCACGGGGGTCCTCTATAAATACACTACTTAGTGTTTACCTGGAAAATTTGTCACATCTGACCATGCCAATACCTGTAGAGTATACATAATTCTTAATGGTTGCACAGTATTCTATTCTATAGCTATTTTATGTTTGCAGGATTCTTGATTGGTTCTTTTACCCCCACTGTTGGCACATTGGTACAATTTCCTCAAATTGGAATGTGGGAGTCAAAAAATGTAGAGATTAATAGTAGCAAAAAACATTCATAAGGTACTTTACATATATTTGTAATTTTGTCTAATATCGGACTATCTAATTTAATCCCTTTGATAAAAGGTACCCTTAATATCTCTGGTTTACAAATGAGTAAATTACTGTCATTAAGTTAATAATGATTGATAGTGACACTATATAAATTTTCTGAAACCCGACCCCCTCCCTGGGGGACAGACAACAGAAAAGTGGGAGAAGGGAGATGTCGGACAGGGCAAGATATGACAAAAAAATAATTTATAAATTATCAGAGTTTCATGAGGGAGGGGGGCCCAGGGAGAGAGGGGAAAAATGAGGACCTGATGCTGGGGGTTTGGGTGGAGAGCAAGTGTTTTGAGAATAATGAGGGCAATGAATGTACAAATGTGCTTTACACAATTGATGTATGGATGGATGTGATAGGGTTGTATGAGCCCCTAATAAAACTATTTTAAAAATAAATAAATAATAAAAAAGAAAATTGTTTGAAAAAATAATAATAAAATAAATGTTCTGAAATCCTAAACTTTTTATAGGCGCAAACAATCTCGGTCTTCCTCTGATGGAGTGAGCGGCAGGTTGCAGCCATTAACCTTGCAATCCAACACCTAACCCAACAGCACCACCAGGACTCCTTACAGAGGGGGAGGGGAAACCAAGGCTTAATCTTTCCAAATGGACTAGCTAGCAGGACGTCTGACTCAAGACCATCTGAGTGTAGTCACGGCAGCAGGCTACTTCAAGCATATAGTACCAAATGAACATCCGTCCAGAAAGACTAGCATCCTACTAATTTAATGTTTTGGTCAACAGTATGGGACTTCTTATTTCCCTACAGTCTTGCTAGCCTTAGGAATTTTCTTTCTAATTTATTTATTTTTAAAATTCCTGTCCACTTTCCTATGTCTAGATAAAAAGATACTAACCAAGATAGGCCACTTCTTTCCAGCACAGTCCCATTTCTTTTCTCCATTCATCTATAATTGCTAGCTTGTCTGATACGTTGACTTCCATTTTACAATCCAGTTTTAAGGCAGCGAGAGTTGGCTTTGAACAGGCTCTTTCTGAGATCAACCTCACCTTAAAAAAAAAAAAGCGAGAGAGAAAAGTGAATGAGATAGATATTTTTTAAAATAAAATCTTTGTAAATAGTGCAAGTCACAAATTAGCAGTCCCTTGACTTTCTAAAGGACCAGTAAGACAAAATTAACTGTCATTTTAAAATGGTAGGCTGAAAACAGTTTTCTTCCTAATAGTTCAATATAGGTGAGACATACTGTTCTCTAAAGGAAGAGGTGTGGAATAGGTTCTACCTACATATAAAAAAATACATCACACGTTGTCTTATACTAATCTAAGGTATTCTAGTACTCAGTTTGTTACCAACCTCCAGTGCTTCTCATCTCTCACTAACATCCAATCAATGCTGACTCACAGTGACCCCCTGTGGGTTCCCGAGACTGTAGCTGTTTATAGTAGTCAGCCCAGCCTTTCTCCTTCAGAGCTGCTAGTAGTTTTGAACTGCTGAGCATGAGGACTTCAGCCCAATGCCTAACCACTACATCACTGGTACACAGCTAAAAATTTCTAGTGAGTTTTAGGGAAAAAAAGCTTTCATTAAAAAAATAATAAATGTAACCAAAAGCTATTTTGATTTAAAGCTTTCAATAATAAGAATGTCTTATATTTAAAACATATACAAGGTATTTACCTTTTTCTAAATGCTGACACTTATTATTGAAGAAACTTTTCTTTTTCTATAACCTCCTGTAAAATACTAGGTAGCTCCAATTTTAAAATATTTTATACTTACTGAACAAACAAAATTAGATTTATTGATTGATAATATCTAATTTTATTCACCTGAAAGTAAATGGCATCTGAAGGCTAAATATCTGAAAAACAGACAAGATTGGCGTTTAAATCTCTAACTTCCCGCCGTGCTCTTTGCCCGAGTCAACATCTACTGTAACTATATTCAGGGCACATACCTCAATACCACTTTTCTTTAACAGATTTATCCCAATAGCATCTTTTATATCATAAGATATTATTTCTTTCTGGTCTCCTGATACATAAATGTGGCCATTGGTGAGGCATCCATCAATATTGCAAACCAAAAGTTTTATCTCCTTAAGCTTCTCTTTGCCAAAATAGCCATATCTAAAAGAAACCAAAATGGGCTTTAAAATACAAATGCAATACTAATCCCTCCTCACTTGGCTAACACCAGTGAACTTCATACCTCACTCTCCATTAAATTATTCTAACCAAACCAAAACCTACTGCCACCAAGTGGCAGTAGTGAACCAGCAGAGTGTTTCTCAGTCTATAGAACTTTAAGTGGTACAGGAGCAGATACATTCATCTTTCTCCTGCAGAGTGGCTTGTAGGTTTGAACCACTAACCTTGTGTTTAGCAGTCCAATGCTTAGCTGACAGCACAAGCAGGGCTCCTTATTCATTCTAACAGCACTTTTCAAATATACTCGATATATGCATTTCAACTTCAAGTGCAAGTATACGCATTATGGTGTAACCAGGCTGTTTCTTGGGTTTCTAAATAAGCCATCCAAAAGCACATTTTGCATATACTTATCCAGCTTTCTCACATGTACTGACATTCTAAAGGCCTAGCATCATTGGAGTGTCAGACATCAGTGTCTTGAATACAAGGAGACCCCTCTACTGCAAATATGTTAGGCCCTAGTGCAAAGGTTACATGTATCTGTTTACCTTAATACTCTTTGTTCTGCAATAGGCCAGTCAATATCCACATCTATATCCACACTGTGCTCAGCTCGCATTTCATAGTAGGCCATTTTTCCACCCTAAAGTTAATATAACATGCCATGAGTATGTTTTGGGCACTCATTCACCATTGTTAAATACTATAAAAATATATAATGCTGGCTTTGTGTCTTCATGATGGGCTCTATGGCGAATCCAGTAATATCAGTGGCAGACAACCTATGATGGACTTTTGGGGGTGCTTGTTGTTTCCCCCATATTCAAACCACAAAAATAATTTTTAAAGTTTCAAAATTTACCTGTCTAGTGCAAGTTTCCCATTTTTCTTTACACAGATTTCTACTTTAAGATTGAATGAAACAGAAACAATACCCATCCCTCACTATTCTGACCACAAGGAATTTGGTGTAAGTCCCCTAATTCTAAGGCTCCCCGCTACCCCCAGCCAGGCAGTTTCAATCCATTATCATCTGAGTGTGATAAAAAGGGAGAGAGGGGGTGGTGGGTTTTCTAATGATAGTAATTATTTGAATGACCAGAATATTTCAAAATCATCAGTTTTTCCACAAATATTTCTATAAAGAGAAGCTTCATTTTTTCCACACTTCTAGAAGGATTTGGACTACAGTCCCAAGTTCCCAAAGAGTTGGGGAAGGGTGGCATCTAATTTTCTTGGATACAGTTTGCTTATACCCTAACCAGAAAACTGTATTCATAGATTGATGCACATTAGAATTTTTACTACACCATGGAGTTTTTGTTTTGCTTTAAAATGTTATTGTTTTAAATAACAGAAGGACCCGATTCAAATCATGACTCTACCTTTTACTATTTTTGCTTAGAGCCAATTATTTAAGTTTTCAGAGCTGCAAATTCTTTCTCTGTACAGCTGAGAGAAATGTCTACTTCATTAAGCTGTTCTACACAAGGTGACCTATAAAAAGTGTCTCACAAAGTTCTTGGTACATGGTAAGTGCTGAGAACAATAAGTAGTATAATTAACAAATAGCATACAATGTCTATCATGTATTCTAAAGATGAGAGAGCTGATCCCTTATTTTAAAATCAGAGTAATGAGACTTAGAACAGATAAAATGTTATATTCAAGTTTATGTAGTAATAGTTGGGACTCCAAAATCCCAAAACCAAGCTCAATGCCACTGAGTCAATTCTAACTCGCAGTGATCCTACAGGACAGGGTAAACTGCCCCTGTGGATTTCAAAGACTGTAACCCTTACAGGGGTAGTAAGCCTCTTCTTTCTGCCACAGAGCAGCTGGTGGCTTCAAACTGCTGACTTTGCAGTTACTACTCAATGGGTAACCCACCATGCCACCAGGGTTCCCTATATTTAGGACTGGAGTCTGGTTTTTTTGGGTGCGTTCCCCCTCTACTATACTGCTCTTTTTAAAACAAGGAAGTGGATTATAAACAAAGTTTTAAATGCAATAATATGAACACCAAGACAAATGTAGACCATTTAGTACTTGATTCATTTTTCTTCTCAGTGTTATAGCTGTACCTGGATTTCTTGCACATTTATTGAATGGAGTACAAAGGTCAGTATTGCAAGGTAAACACCTCAGATAATAAATCTTGTCAGTAATTTTACTGCCTTCCCTTACAGATTGGTATTTCCCTTCCTAGAACTCACGAGTCTATATATTTTAAATCCTTTGTACAAAATAAAAAGCACAAACCTGCAGGTAACCCATCTCTATCAAATGTCTTTTAGCGAAATAAAACGATCCATTTTCATACAATTCGCCATCCCAATCTTGCCGTCGAGGTCGCTTAGCGGGATTCAAATTCAGGGGTTCAGTTACCTCACGAACTAAAAGCAAAAAGCTACAGTTAAGTCCGTATCACTCTGACTACAGTAAGTGTTCATTTAGCTAACAAGTTCAGTAACTTAAAAAAAAATAAAAATGAATCTGGAAATGGAAACTATTAAGTGGTCAACTACAGGCACACCTTGTTTCATGGTGCTGTGCAGATACGGAATTTTTCACAAAGAAACATTCTGTGACCAGGCTGCAAGTCTGTGTCAGCACCATTTTCCCAATAGCGTGTGCTCACTTCATGTGTGTGTCCCATTTGGGTGTTTTCAGAATCATTCCACCCTTTCCACAAAGCCACTGTTACAAAACCACATTTCAGACTATTATACTAAATTAGGAAGGACCTTTAAAAAAATTGTGAAAAAATGCTCTTACCTTTTAATTCCATTTTCACAAACTTTTGATATACTATGTTACACTAAAGAAATTAGAGGCTGAAAACTGGTTGAGAAGATGGAGAAGTTCAATTAAAAATAGACGGTCCAAGAGAGAATAAAAGTGGATAGTCTACAGTGGGAAAAAAAATATAGTACTTGAAAATAGTACTGTAATTCACTGGGTAGGTTTTAGAATACACCAAACAAGTAAGATGATCTGATCAATGAACTCATAGATATTCCAACAGAAATTACCCAAAATGAAGTACAAAGAAGAAAAATAGAAAATACCAATGATCCAGAAAAGAATGTTAAAGAATTGTTTAAATTCACTTTAATTGGAGTCGCAGAAATACAAAGAATATAGAAGAAATATTGAAGAGATAATAATTGAAAATGACATATATCAACCCATCGGTGCAAGAAGATCAGAGAATCCCAAGCAAATGGACTATGAGGGTATTTCAAAATGTTTGTAGAAAACGATGAAAGTGAAATATAATGCAATTTCCCCATAAACCTGTCTTGTAAAAAGGAAACCGGTCTTAGAAATCATGGTCCAAGTGTAGAAAACCCAAGATAGAGAGAAAAAAAATCTCAAAGCAGTCTCAAGAAAAATGGTACACTACATTTAAGGAAACAGTTTTAACAAGAGCTGATTTATAATAAGAAACAATAAGGGTAGAAGTTAATGGACTAACATCTTATAGATGCTACTTCAAAGGAATAACAAGATGCAATCTTTTAAAATGCTGAAAGAAAAAAAGGACAAGCCTAGAATTTTGTACTCAATGAAATACTCTTCAAAATATAAAGGCAAAATTACAGACATTTTGAGACAAACAAAAGCCTGGAGTTTTTTTCACCAACAGATGTAAACTACTAGATGGTAACACATACAGGCCATAAAGAATAAACTACAACAGAAAAGATAAATATTTCTTAGAAAAGCAAAAATTCATGGCCATGAATTGATTCTGACACATACTGACCCTATATGTGGGTGAAGATAAATTATTATTTTAAAATAATTTTCTAAAGACTATTACAGCCAATTAAAAAAACATAGCAAAGTATTATTAGCTTACAATATATGTAAAAATAGATTCCTGTGGATGTTAGATATTGGTGAGCCGACTGCGACTCATGGTGACCCCATCGGTTTTGAAAGGTTGTGACTTAAGGCAACTGACTGCCGGGTCCATCTTCAGAGGTGACTCTGGGTAGAGGCCAAACCACAACATCTTGACCAGTGGTCAAGAGACTCCCTGCACAAGCCAGGGTTCAAACTCAGATTATGTGACAATCATTATTACAAAATAATGCACAACCAAACCAATGCCACCGAGTCAATTCCAACTCAAAGCCACTCTATGTAGTGTCCGGGCCTCTGAGTCTTGTCAGGAGAAGCCTCATTTCTCTCCTGAGCAGTGGCTGATGGTTTTTGAACAGCTGGTTGTGCAGTCATCAGTCCAACACAGAAAACACAGCACCACCAGGGCTCCTGAGCAGGGGATAAATGCCGCTACTATGTGGGGTTTGTTCTTACTGATGAAGTTTTAAAATATCAATTGAAAACAGACTACAACAAGTTACTAGTACATAATGTAATCTCTGAAGCACTGTTGTCTAAAAAATATATAAGGTAAGCCACAAAGGCAATTTAAATTTATCAAGTAGCTAAATTGAAAAGAAAAACAAGGAGAATAAATTATTTTTTTTTTATAAACCAAAATGCCACTGCCATTGAGTTAATTCTGACTCAGAGCAACCCTATATAGACAACGCTGAAGTACTCTTTAGGATAAACCTTTATGGGAGCAGAAAGCCTCATCTTTCTCCCATGGTGGAGTGGTGTGGATGATGGCATTGAACCACTGACCTTATGGTGAGCTGCTCAAAGCTTATCCCACAGGTTCACCAAAGATCTTTTTTATGTAACCCAATGTATCAAAAATTGCTCTCATTCAATGACTTTGCATAATCAGATAGAGCTAGACTGTTCCTTAGAAGTGAGAGGGGAGAGACTCCATTTCATATTCTGGGAAGATGTTATTAGAGGGACCAGATGCTGGAGACAGGCATCATGTTTGGTAAAATCGAGAGTCAGAGAAAAAGAAGACCCCAGAAATGTGGGTGGATACAGGGGCTGTATGGGCTCAGATTTAGCAATAGCTTGTGATGCTGATGGATCAGGCAGTGTTTAGTGCAGTTGTGCATGAATCCCTCAGTATCTACGCTGCACTGATTCCAGGACTTACCTTAGATACCGAAATCTAGGGATGTTCAAGTCCCTTAAAGAAAATGTTATTTGCTTCCATACAAACTATGCTGATCCTCCTATTTTCAAGTCACCTCTACATTACTTATAATCCCTAATCAATGTGCTTCCTATTCTCTCTTAGCCTTTGCAGGGTTGCTTAATTTTTCCCCCAAGTATTTTTGAGACCTAGTTGGTTGAAACCCAGGATATGGAACCTGGGATATAGAGGGCCAAATGTACATAAGCTTCCTTTGAGCTAGAAGTGACTAGGTAGTATCTAATTACAACAACATACCAAAAAAATAAATGATCATGTCAACATGTAATAAATAAATATAAAAACTATCAGAGGAAGATATCACATCCTTTTTTTCCCTCTCCCTTCCACACAAAAGTATTAGAATTCCCGTATTTCACCCTTACAGCACATGGCAAGTTGAACTGGCCCCATTTCAAGTGCTAGCAGTGATAGTGGCTCCCATGTTGAGCACGACTGCTCTAGAAAATAAAATTGAACGATGTTTTAAACTGACGAACCTACTAGCACTCACAGCAGTCAACATTTGACAAGGTAGAGAAAAACATAATGATAAAATATGCCACTGGTTTAGACTCACTGTCTATCAAGGGCATCTGTTTGACATTGGTCCCAAGGGTACATAGCATATGGAAAAGGCAACCAACTATCTGTAACATTTAAGGTTAATGTTAACAGAAATTTCTACTTTTCTTCAGAAATAGTTAGGGATCTGTCATTATGGATCTCCCATCTATTTAACCTAGATTTTTCTTGTGCCTATTTAATTTTAATCATAAAGCATAAACCTCAATATTCAGACTAATGACTAGGCTTTATTTGCTTCTAAAATTTATATTTTAAGCTTTAATAAATCTTCTCTAGAACTCATTTCTAAGATTTGAAGAAATATAAAAATTGACACACAGAAGACATTCAGAAAATGTTTACTGCATGAAATCAGTACATAAATCCACCCATCAATGATTTTAGAGCTTTTGACAACATTTACAATGAGATTGACAAAAATAATGGTTTTACATCAATCTTTGTCCCCTAGATTATTTTCATTGCTCTTCTTTGTACCTTCTCCAATTTTGTGGCATCTTTCTTATTGTTAAGGATTAAAATAGGTCATCCAAAAAGATAAGCTGAAATCCTAACCCTTGGACCTATGAATGTGATCTTGTGTGGGAAAATAAGGTCTTTGCTTTGTAAAACATCGTGCAGGAAGTCACACGGGAGTAGAGCCAGTCTGACATCTAATCCCTTCCAAGGAGTGTGAACAAGGAGGATACAGGCGGTCACACACAGGGGAGAACTGCATATAAGCCAACGAACACCCAGGCCTAAAGAAGCGGAGAAAGGCAGGGCCCTTTCTTCTGCGCCCAGAACAACAGAATGACTTAAAGAACTTATCCAGAGCCACTCACTGGACAACTGAACATAGACACGTGTTAAAACACACTTCATTTAGAATGAACCCATCCGTGTAAAGCCTGGGATTCTAGTAGCAATACTTTTCTACTTACCTTAAATGGCAAATCTGAGTAGGAATGTTCCTACCACTCTATAAAGAGTGATGTAAAGAATGAATTTGGTTTCACTATCTTGCCTCAATGACAGCAAAAATTTAGAACTGATTAAAAATGCCATTAAGCACCATCGCCAAAATCATTTTTTTTAACTGTTCCTTTACTTTCTTACTCTTAAAGAATAAAACCTCAAACAAACAAAAAGTGATTTTTGGTAAAATAAGCAAAAATACAGATCAATGACAGATTACCTCCTTTCTGAATCTCACTCCATCGAAACTGATGGCGTCTCACAACAGAGAACACAGAATCATATCCTTCTTCTCGGATCATGTCTGCAACTTTTTGAAGGTCAGTAGGATGCAAACATGGAGAAGTCGCTTGAATATTTCCTATAATATCAACCTCTTAAAAAGACAAAAGAAAAAGGGCATCAAAATAAAGTCTGTGAACTAAAGTTGTAAGTTTTACTTTATGAAAACAGCTCTTTTATCTACAACACTGAGTCATCTTATTAAATGTTAGAAATGTGTAATATAAGCTGAATATTATGTCTGTGTTATATATGTGTATGCATGATATTTTATGCCTTGAACTGTGCACTGTCATGTTTCACAGCACTGTATTAGGTGATTAGGGTCACTCAAACACCAGACACTTGTTCCTTTAGAAACAATCAGATTAATGAGCCTGGCCTGTTCCCAAGATTCCAGAAGCCTTATAATCATGGTTCAATGATCTTGTGATTTTCTTAGTAAGGTTCCCATTTAAACTTTGATAATATTTGATCACATACTGCTCTCTTGATGTATTCTGATATGATTAGTCAAAATTTGAATGTACAAAATGCTGATGAAATCAGGTGAAATATAGGTAATCCTAGAAATTTATTCAATTATTTGGAGCTCTGGAAATTTAATAAATCATTTGAAGCTCTGATTAAAAATGTGGTAATGATGTGCTACCCAACTTTCAAGTTATTTATTAAACCTACATTAAAAGAAAAAAACAAACAAACCTCACAGCCATCAAGTGGGGTCCAACTTATAGCAACCCTATAGGGCAGGGCAGAACTGACTGAGGTTCCAC